GAAGGGGTGGAGGGCGGCGCTCCTTAACGAGGAGCACCTGCATGGGCCTTGGACGTCGAAATGGCGGTTGCGGGCTTACGTCGAGTACATGTCAACAGAAACGGACAAACAGGCTGCTTCCTTGGATACCGGGCGGACCAGAGTAGCGGGACGGAAGCCGAAAAAATGCACCCCACCGATGATGCTAGCGCGCCTAACTGCGCTAGGGTGCTTGTGCAAAGTAGAGGCCATACTCTTCGACGAACCACTCACAAAACCGATGGACGACATCACCGAGGCTAGGCAGCTACTAGCGGTCAAGCTGCGACAGCTGCACGACTATCAGTTCGAGTAAGTTCGCTTCCCTACCCCGTCGGCTACAACTTCTCACTCACTTTCTCACTTATTAATTGTTGTATCTGCCCACTCTATGCAGGAGCTGCGTCGACCCACATCGTGGCTCGCTCGACGATGTCTACACGGAGGAGCAGTTCCGCATTCTTGTTTCAGACATCCTGCCGCACTGGGCCAAGGTGTACTTCGGGTTGTCGATGGCGTACCCCAGTCTGTCGCTGTGGAAGGCCTTGGCTGTGAGGGTGATGATTCTGATGGCGCATCACATGCTGGGCAGGGGGATCAGCATCCGTACAATCCGCTATTGCAACATGTTCACTCACGTCCTTCTGCCCATCACGAACAGCCCGTGGGAATCGTCGATCCTCGTTCTCGTGGTCGCCTATCGCAATTCGAAGACCGTCAAAGACAACAAGCTCGGCCACTTGTACCTGACTCGACACATGGACTTCCAGCAGTGCGGCTTTGGAGCAGTTTTCCTATGGCTACACTTCCTTTTCGACCTCGTGCCGCTCTACTACAACAACGAGAATATCGTGCCCCCCTTGGATTTTTCAAACCCGGAGGCCTGGTCGAAGAAATCCCTGGTCGGAGCAGTTTCCCTTTTACCGTCTCTTCCCCTACCGAACTGCCCCTCTCCCCCCCCCCGCCACTCTTCCTCGCTCCAGGTCCCCCTCCGGTAGACCCCCTCCCCCCTCAGGGTCCTGCTCCCTCAGGTGTGTCTCAGGTAGACCCACTCCCCCTGGCTGAGCCTATCGAGGTCGCTTTAGACTCAGGTGCTGCTAGAGGTGCTGCGTCTGGGGGTGTTGCGTCTGGGGGTGCTGCGTCTGGGGGTGGTGAGCCTGCGAGTGCGGAGCCTGGGGGTGCTGAGCCTGAGGGTGCGGTGCCTGGGGGTACTGAGCCTGAGGGTGCGGAGCCTGGGGGTTCTGAGTTTGAGGGTGCGGAGTCTAGGGGTGCTGAGCCTAGGGGAACTGTGGGTGCCTCGCCACGATTGTCTCACCGGCGGGAGCCTCTCTCACCGCAGCAGCTGCGCGAGTGGTTTGCTCAGCGTACACGCTTTAGGAGTCGCGCTGAAGGAGCTGGAGGCTCTGCCACTGGAGGCACTTGAGCTGGAGGTGCTGGAGCTACTAGTCCTGGAGGTGTTGGAGTTACTGCTAGAGCTGGAGGTACTGAAGGTGCTGGAGTTGCTGGTCCTGGAGGTGCTCGTACTACTCGTAATGGTGCTACCGGAGCTGATGGTGTTGGAGGCACTGGAGCTGGAGACCCTGGCGCTGGAGGCACTGGAGCTGGAGACCTTGGAGCTGGAGGCACTAGTGCTAGAGACCCTGGAGCTGGAGGCACTGGCGCTGGAGGCGCTAGAGTTGGAGGCACTAGAGCTGGAGGTGCTGGAGCTTCTAAGCCTGGAGGTGCTGGAGGTGCTGGTCCTGGAGGTGCTCGTACTCGAGGTACTGGAGCTGCCTGAGCTGGTGGTGTTGCAGGCACTGGAGCTGGAGACCCTGGAGCTGGAGGCACTAGCGCTGGAGGCGTTGGAGCTAGAGGAGTTGGAGCTGGAGGCACTGGAGCTGGAGGTGCTGGAGCTGGAGGCGCTGGCGCTGGAGGCGCTGGAGCTGGAGGCATTGGAGTTGGAGACCTTGGAGCTGGAGGTGCTGGCGCTGGGGGTGCTCGAGCTGGCGGTCCTGGTGCTGGAGGCACTGTGCAGCATTGCCCGTTTTTTGTTCCGCCGCCGTGGTCATCTCTGCCGCCACCTGACTCGGTCCTTCGCCAGGTTCTTCGTCTCCCGTCTTCTACTGGCCTTACTCCTAGCATGCTGTGTCCACCGCCTCACCAGTCGCAGCCACAGTTACAGCCAGACTCCCCACTGCCTGCTCCTTGTCCTTACGCTGAGCAAACACACTCTCTTACAGAGCTTCGTGGGCCTGAGTCTCCTCCTGCCTCACGTGTTTGCGCTAATCACACTGGTCGTCGTGTTCCTCGTCCGCGTCCTCCTCCTGTCCCCGGCACTCACATTATGGCACTTCGTCCTTCCTCTGTTCCACTGCGAGTTCCCTTGCCGTCTCCTCCTGCATCCTCTCTTCCTGACGTTCTTGACCCTGAGTCTGACTTAGCTCATGTTGCTAGTCCTACTGTCCCTCGTCTTCTAGCCACTGTTGTCACTGACCCTTCTTTTGAGTCCACTGCTGCGTCCGCCTTAGTTGCTGAGCTTGTTGACTTTGCTGCCGCCTGTCGTCTTGACTACGCCGCTAGTCTTGTTGCTGAGTCTGAGTCTGACTCTCCTCCGTCCGTCGGGGGTGAGTGTGCTCTTGGCACGGACGTCCTTGAGGATAGGCAGGAGGACTTCGAGTGTCTTGCAGCTGCTGTACCTCATCTCGTGGCCATGCTGCTTGCACCGAAGGGAGACCCGGATGCACCAGACATCCCGACCCTGCGCTCTTACGCAGAGGCGATTACGGGTCCCTACTCCTCTCAGTGGCAGACAGCCATGGACGCAGAGATGGCATCCTGGAAGTCCACAGGCACCTACGTTGACGCAGTTCCCCCTTCTTGGGCGAACATAGTCGATGGCATGTGGATTTTCAGGGTGAAGCGGCCGCCGGGTTCTCCGCCTGTCTTCAAGGCTCGTTACGTTGCACGAGGCTTCAGTCAGCGACAGGGAGTTGAATTCTTCCAGACTTTCTCCTCTACCCCGAAGATGACCACTCTTCTGGTTCTGCTGCACGTCGCTGCTCAGCATGACTACGAGTTGCACTGTCTAGACTTCAACACAACTTTCTTACAGGGCAGCCTACACGAGGAGATCTGGCTGCGCCGCCCACTTGACTTCACTGGGTCGTTTCCTGCAGGTACCCATTGGAGCCTCCGGCGGCTAGTCTACGGTGTCCGCCAGGCGTCTCACGAGTGGCACGACACACTGAGGACGACGCTTGCGGCTCTTGGATTTGCTCTTTCGACTGCTGACCCGTCTCTGTTTCTGCGCATCGACACTTCGCTGCCGCCGTTCTACGTCCTCGTGTACGTCGACGACTTGGTCTTTGCTACTGCTGACACTGAGGCACTCGCCCTTGTGAAGTCGGAGCTGCAGAAGAGACATACCTGCACTGACCTGGGTGAGCTGCGCAGCAATCTTGGCTTGCAGATCACCCGGGACATAGCACGGCGCACCATCACCCTGACTCCGTCACACATGGTGCACCAGGTCCTTCAGCGCTTCGGCTTCCGGTAATCCTCGCCACAGTCCACTCCTCTGCCTACCGGTCACTCGCTCTTAGCTCCACCTTCGGACGAGTCCGTAGAGCCGAGTGGCCTGTATCCAGAGCTTGTGGGCTACCTCAGGTACCTGATGACTTGCACTCGACCTGACCTTGCCTACCCTCTCTTAGCATCCTGGCACGCTACGTTGCGTCCGGGAGATACCGACCAGAGCACTGGGAGGCCGCTAAGAGGGTGTTGCGCTACTTGTGCAGTACATCAGGCATGGGGCTCGTGCTTGGAGGACGGGGTCCAGTTGTCCTCACTGGACATGCAGACGCTTCTTGGGTTGACGACTTGGCTACGCAGCAGACGTCATAGGGTTACACTTTCAGCCTTGGCTCCGGCTCTGTTTCTTGGCGGTCTACCCGCTCGTCTTCTGTTCTCATTTCCAGTTGTGAGGCTGAGATCTACGCAGGGGCCATGGTTGTACAGGAGTTACGCTGGCCCACCTACCTGCTGACCTACTTGGGAGAGCGGCCTCGTTCTTCTCCAGTTCTGTACATAGACAACAAGGCCATGATTGCCTTGTGTCAAGAGCACAGACTGGAGCACAGAACAAAGCATATCGCTCTGCGTTACTTCCTTGCTCGAGATTTGTAGCAGCGTGGTTAGCTTCGTCTTGCGTACGTGGCCACTCGGGCCAACACTGCTGATATATTCACCAAGGCACTTCAGTCTGGTGATCATCAGCGTTTCTGTAATGTTTTAGGTCTTGTGCCTATTTTGCCTCACTTGCTCACTGCGTGACTTTGCTTGTACTGTGATCTATATAGATACCTGCATGCTTGTACTTGCTAGGTTATGATCGCAGTACCCTCCTCGCAGGACCTCCGGCAGATGCAGTACCCCTAGGCTCAGCACCCCTAGACTCCGCACCCTCAGACTCAGCACCCCCAGGCTCCGCACCCTCAGGCTCAGTACCCCCAGGCTCCGCCCAGCTGGCAGCCGCACCTGCTCTGATACCATGTCAAAATACTGAACGAAAATAGATGTATTGAACAGAAAGTTTGGTACAAGTACTAACCCTGATTGGGTTGTACCCCTTATGGATTACCACACGACAGCCTACACAATGTAAGCACTATAACATTTTGAGACAACATGCTCGCTTATGCATCACAGCAGCTAGCTACTCTAATATATGATCGTCATACATCTGATGGCTTGCCATCACCAAAAGCAGGGTGGCTACAGTGGCAGCAGCAGAAGAGACAAAAGGAAGCAAAGAGTCTTCTCGTCTCGTCACTTCCTGGAGGAGGTGGCGTGGTAGTGGAGTGAGCAAGACGCAGCTGTCAGAATCCCAGCCATTTCTGTAGGCGTGGTGGAATGTGGTGTGGAGGCGCGCGGTGTGGTGGGGTGTGTGTGGAGGCGTCCGCTGAGGTGGAGTGTGGTGTGGAGGCGTGTGGTGTGAAATGGGGTCACTTCCTGGTGGAGGCGGCGTGGCGGCGGAGAGCAGCGTAGAAAGCGAGTCGCAGAGCAGCAATGAATGCCGCAATCACCACCACGTTGCGCCACGGGCTCAAACCTGTGAACCCCCGCGCGTCCAGATACGCTGCACCAGTGAGGCCACACGTCTGGTTGGTGCCGGAGGCGGTGTAGCCGACGCCGGCGGCGGGGGAGAAGGTGGAGAAGCAGGTGGGGCCGAGGCCGTGGTGGAACTCGGCCCAGAGCAGCAGCTCCATGGGGTAGCGCATGAGACTCACGTAGTACAGCCACAGCCAGTATGGCGGGATGGCCGACCTGGGGGGAGGGGTGAGGCGACAGAGAGGGAGGGGCAAATGAAGATGAGCAAGAGAGAAGTAGCTGTTACACATAGGCAGTGAGCAGGCAGCGGTGAGTGGACAGCTGTGAGAGGGCAGCAGTGAGAGACGGCAAGGAGAAGGACGGGCAAGGGAGAGGCAAAGGAAGCAGAGTTGGAGGAGAAGAAGGCGGCGAATAGGAGGAAACGGAGAAGGTGCTGATGGCAACCGTGACAAAAGGGAAGTGGATGCAGCAAATAAGCAGGGAGAGGGCGGCAGTGGGTAGCAGTGAGAGGGCAAGAGTGAGGGCAAGGAAGTGGCAGTGAGGAGCAAGGCGGCGAGGGCAGGAGGCTGACTTGGAGAAGAAGAAGCCGCTGAAGAGGAGGAAGAAGGAGAAGGCACTGCTGGCGACGGTGGCCGCCACCATGTGTGACGGCAGCAGCGCCGACAGCAGCGTCACAAACGCGTTGGCGAGTGCAAAGGCCAGGCACAGTGTGGCGATGAAGATGGTGAAGGCGGAGGCGGAGGGCGCCAGGCCCACCATCCAGTAGAGCGGCGCGGCGAGGGCGAGCGAGAGGAGGAGGAAGAGCGGCAGCGTGGTGAGCGTGGTGGCGACCACGTAGGGCGCCGTGCGGTAGGCGCCTCGTGATGTCTCTCGCGTGAAGATGGTTCGCTCCTGGTGGGGGGTATGGGGGAGGGGAGGGGGGTGGGGAGATGGGATGATCGTTCATAGAAGGTGGGAGTGAGGTGGTGGATACAGGTGCTGCGAGTGCCAAGACACGAACGGGGCTGTGCGGTATGCGCTTTGGGGGTCTCTTGGGGGAAGGTGGTGTGCTTGTGGTGGGGGGCAGCAGGAGGGGAGGGGGAGATGTGTGGGAGAATGGGATAGCTTGTACTCCATAGGAGTGGGATACAGTTGCGTGGACGGGCGGACCAGGTGCAGGGCGTCTCACGAGGTTGAAGAGCGGGAGGGCGTCTCACGAGGTAGAAGAGCGGGAGGGCGTCTCACGAGGTAGAAGAGCGGGAGGGCGTCTCATGAGGTAGAAGAGCGGGAGGGCGTCTCACGAGGTAGAAGAGCGGGAGGGCGTCTCACGAGGTAGAAGAGCGGGAGGGCGTCTCACGAGGTAGAAGAGCGGGAGGGCGTCTCACGAGGTAGAAGAGCGGGAGGGCGTCTCGCGAGGTAGAAGAGCGGGAGGGCGTCTCGCGAGGTAGAAGAGCGGGAGGGCGTCTCACGAGGTAGAAGAGCGGGAGGGCGTCTCACGAGGTAGAAGAGCGGGAGGGCGTCTCACGAGGTAGAAGAGCGGCAGGGCGTCTCACGAGGTAGAAGAGTGGCAGGGCGTCTCACGAGGTAGAAGAGCGGCAGGGCGTCGAGGGAGTTGTAGAAGACGAGGGCGACGGTGAAGCCCAGCACGGCGAAGCGGCTCTGCAGCCCCGCCATGTCCAACCCCACGTGCAGGAAGAGCGACCCCATGATCACCCCCATCGCCACCTGCCATGCGCACACACGCACACATGCACATGCAGGCAGTGGGCATGGGAGGGCGGGAAGAAGGTGGTGAGAGAGCAAGGAAGATTGTGGGTGGGAGAGACGTGCGATGGGAGCGAGGGTAGGAATGGTGGAGAAGCAGTGAGGGGAGAGGCAGCACGTGGTCAATCCCCCTCACGAGTGCGAGTTGGGCTCAGACAGGTGGGGGGTGACAGGCAGGAGCTGCCTGCCGTGCTGGCAGTGGGGCGGTGAGCAAGGAGGGCTGGGAAGGAGAGGAAGGCAAGTGCAGGCACAAGAAGGCAGCGCCAAATGGGTATCTGGGAAGGGTGGGCAGGGTGGGCAGGGTGGGAAGGGTGGGCAGGGTGGGAAGGGTGGGCAGGGTGGGAAGGGTGGGCAGGGTGGGCAGGGTGGGCAGGGTGGGCAGGGTGGGAAGGGTGGGCAGGGTGGGCAGGGTGGGAAGGGTGGGTAGGGTGGGCAGGGTGGGCAGGGTGGGCAGAGTGGGAAGGGTGGGCAGGGTGGGCAGGGTGGGAAGGGTGGGCAGGGTGGGCAGGGTGGGAAGGGTGGGCAGGGTGGGCAGGGTGGGAAGGGTGGGCAGGGCTCTCACTGATTAGCACAAGACGGCGGCGTGAAATGGGAAGGGCAGGAAGGGAAGCAACAGACCATGACGAGGAGGCGCGAGAGCAGCAAATCGGGGCTGCGTAGCAGCACGAGGCAGCAGCGGTGAGTCAGCGTCACCGTCTCACTCACGGCGCTCGTGGCGTACTCCCACTCGCCCACCGCCCTCCCCTCCCCCACCCTCCCCTTCCCCGCCCTTCCCCCTCCATTGCCCTCTGCCCCACTCCCGCCTGCCTCACTGCTCCCACTGCCCTGCCCCTCGCCCCCAACCCCCAAGCACTGCTTTCCCCCAGCTAGCAGCTTCCCAAGCTGGTGCTTCAGGTTAGCCCCCAGGGAAGGCGCGGTAGGGAGAGCGTCTGTGAGGGCCTCTGACTGCTTACGTGGGGGAAAGACGAAGGGAGACGGTGCAGAGAAACGGAAGGACGTGAGATGGTGTGCAGGTGGGAAGGGCGAAGGAAGGAGGGTAGGAACGATGATGGGCCTCAATGCAGGTGCGTGTGGGCGTGAGTGTGAGGCTGTGTGTGTGTTATTGGCTGTGTGTGTGCGTGTGTGTGTGCGGGTGCGTGTGTGTGTGCGGGTGCGTGTGTGTGTGTGTGTGTGTGCATGTGTGCGTGTGTGTGCATGCGCCAAGAACCTAGTATGAGCGAGGTTAAAATACTGCATGCACCAACGAGCAGCAGCGATGCTCACCTTGCCACGAGCAGCAGCGATGCTCACCTTGCCACGAGCAGCAGCGATGCTCACCTTGCCACGAGCAGCAGCAGCGGCGATGCGAGGCAGAGTGTCGAGGGCGAACTCGAGGAGGTTCACCTGCCAGCGGGCAACAAGGGGTGCAGCACTGCTGTTACTGCACGGCTGCGCACAGTCCTGAGCACTGGGAGTCCCACCGCTGTGCTCACGCTCTTGCAAGAGGGCGCGTAAGTGGCGTGCGTAGGCAGCAGGTACCCTTGGGGCAGTGGGCTCGCATCCAATGGGAACGGGGTGGAGCTCAGTCACATTCCGCAGGGATCACAGGCACCCCCCATGACTCACATGCTGGGTACGGGGTGTGAGACTCACACGAGGTGGTGCGGCGCTGCAAGGTGGCAGCACAGGGTGGGAGTGGTGCCATGGAAGGCGAGGGAGCCGCTGATGAGCAGCGCCAGACGGTGCAGCAGACCCTTGAGGCGCCTCAAACAAACTCACATGCGGGGGCACGGGGTGATGCAGGGCAGCGAGGTGGCAGCGCAGGGCGGGCGTGGTGCCGTGGAAGGCGACCTCTCCGCCCACGAGGAGCGCCAGGCGGTGCAGCAGGGCTGTTATGCGGAAAGACGGCTGGTGGATGGTCAACACCACTGTTCGCCCGCCCTGTGATGGAGGGAAGAAGAAGGGGGTAAGACGGAGTGAGGGAAGGCTAGAGGGGTACTGATTGGTGGAGCGTCAGCATCACTGTGCACCCACACTGTGAGGGCGAGTGGGCGAGAGAAGAGGCACGGGGGGACTGGAATAGCGCAGTCTGAGAACTAGTGTGTGCCCGCCCTGCAGGGTGTGTGAAGCGGGGTAGTGGGGGAGGGGTGCAATGGGAGAGAGCGAGGGCGGGCTTAGGGTGAGCACAGATCAGTAAACGATGAGCGGCACAAACGCCCGCGCTGCATCATTGGCCACGGTGGAATGCGGTGAAGTGGGATTGGAGAGAGCACATGATTGGTGGGGGGGGCAAACAATGTGGATGGTCCTCTGCTTGGTGCCGAGCAGGAGGTATGAGGTGAGAGCGCAGGAGCAAGAGGAGGGCGGAAGTGGCGATTGAAGAGGAGCGTTGGTGAGGGCTCGTGGAGGGTCATGTGACAGCCAGCGCCATGATCGCTGCGTGTAGGGAGGCAGCGGACTAGAGGGTGGGAGATTGGGGAGGATGACAGTGCTTGGGGTTGAGCAGTGGTGGTGTGGGCAGCAAGCGTGTGGCGATTGAACGGGGAGAGGGGGCAAGGCGCGTGCGCGGGGAGAGGTACGGCGAGGTGTGTGTGAGCGTTCGAGTTCGATAGGGATGTGAGTGGAGCGCTGTGCTCTGAGAACAACTTCCCCGCCCTCCACCTCACCAGGCATGCCACGCAGCTACTTTGATACTACACACGCATCACCTGCATGCGCACCTGAACATCTGCGGGCGCACCTGAACATCTGCGGGCGCACCTGAACATCTGCGGGCGCACCTGAACATCTGCGGATGCACCTGAACGGCCATGCTGTGCAGCAGGTGCACCACCCTCAGCGCTGACGAGCTGTCCAGTTGAGCAGCTGTACCATAACTAAACACATGGGCGCACCTGAACACCTGATCATGTGCAACCACACCTGAGACAACAGTACATCAGCTGGAGCATACTTGAGCATCTGGGGCACACCTGAACACCTAGGGCACACCTGAGCATCTGGGGCACACCTGAGGATCTGGGGCACACCTGAACGGCCATGTCGTGCAGCAGCTGCACCACCTTGAGCGCCGACGAGCTGTCCAACCCTGCCAGGGGGGTGAGGGGCGGTGAGGGGCGTGGTGAGGGTGAGGCACATGGCACAAGGAGCAAGGAGCGAGCAGGTGTGGGTGGCGGAATGGGTGACGCTGTCAGCCAGGGCACAGGGCACACAGTGACGGCGTGAGCACACAGAGAGAAGTACAGAGGGCGAGAGAGAGAGCAGAGAAGGTGGCAGGGTGGGTGTGGACCTGAGGTGGGTTCGCCCTGCAGCAGCACAGCCGGGCTGTGGATGCGCTCCACTCTGATGGACGTGAGCGGGCAGAGAGGGCAGAGACAGATGGCATTGAGTGTGCCTCATTACATGTCGGGCACCGGGCATACCTGAGGTGGGTTCATCGAGCAGCAGCACGGCGGGGTTGTGAATGAGCTCCACCCCGATGGACGTGCGCCTCCTCTCCCCGCCTGACACCCCCCGGTGCTGCCATTAAGCAGAGGAGGGTGGGAAAGGCATGAGTTATTTTGCAACGGTCATGCAGTTAGTACAGAAAACCAGTGGAGAAGGGCGTGGGGACACACGCTGGAGGAGGGAGTGGTTGAAGGAGGGGGAGGGAAGTAGGGCGGAGTGGATGTGAGAGCGAGGAGCAAGCACGCATGGCAGGGCAGTGCAGAGGTGCGGAGGAGAGGAACTGTCCCCCACGCGCACGCGTACCCCATCCACCCACTCGCTCCCCACCCGGAGACACCCACCCACTCATCCCCCACGGGACGTGTCAGCACATGTGGCGAGTCCCAGCTGCTGCAGCAGCTGCATTTGAGGCGCCCCATATATAACCCATCCAGTCGCCCCCCCCTCAGCAAGGCACCCACCCGGTCGCCCCACTCACCAGCTCGTCCCCCACGGGCGTGTCAGCACACGCGGTGAGCCCCAGCAGCTGCACCAGCTGCTGCACTCGCTGCTGCCGGGCAGGCGGCGTCACGGTGGACGGCAGGCGCAGACGGGCGGCGAAGTCGAGCGTCTCGCGCACGGAGAGCAGGGCGAAGAGGGCGTCGTCCTGGTGGGGGGAGGGGTGAACCGTGAAAGGGGGGAGAGGAGAAGTTGGGGCAGGGGGAGGGCCGGCGAAGCCAAGCGTCTGGCACAGCACTAGGAGGGCGAAGAGAGCGTCATCCTGATTGCGGGGGGGTGGGGTGGGGGAGGAGGAAGAGAGAAGTTGGGGCAGGGGAGCATTCAATGAGAGCAAGAATGGTTGGTGGGAGGCAGGGAGCACATGGTACGGACAGGGGATGCACCACAACCACCCATCAGGAGTCCACCCAGCTAACCCAACTGTAACACACCACACCCACTGCACAAACCCATCTGCACCACACTGAATCTACCTGCAGCACGTAGGCGGAGTGCTTGCGGAAGCTGGGCGGCATGGGGCAGCCATTCACCAGGATGGACCCCGACAGGCTGCCCGGATCGATGCGGCAGCCAATGGCGTCCAGCAGTGACGTTTTTCCACTGCCCGAGGGCCCGGCCAGCGCGAGCAGCTGCCCGGGATAGGCCGCCACACTCACTCGGTTCAGAATGGTGCGCCCATTGACAGCCTGAGGTAGGGAGAGCGGGGGAACGGGGGAAGGGGGAAGAAGTAGAGGCGTGGATGAGAGATAGAGGCAAGGGTGGTGTAATGGGTGTGGAGCAGTGCCAACAGAACAGCCTCTTTCTCCATCCCCACACACTTTCCTCACCTCACCTCCCCACCTCACCTCCTCCACACACTTTCCCCACCTCACCTTCCCATCTCACCTCCCCACACACTTTCCCCACCTCACCTCTCCACGCCCTTCCTTACCTCCGCTCACACTTTCCCCACTTACCGTGTACGAGAGGTCCTTGGTGCGCAGATGGAACTGTTGCACCACCCGCCCCTCACCCCCGCCCTCCCCCCCTCCACCGCCACCCCACCACGCAGCATCGTCGCCTGCAGCACCCCCGTAATGGTCCACAGCAGCAGCAGCAACAGTGACAGCAGACGAGGCGGCGCCCATGATGGTGGGCGACCCGAACGGCCGCCTCGTGCCGCTCATGCTCATGCCGCTGCGTATCTCCACGCTGACGTCACCGCTGATGTCACTGCTGATGTCACCGCTGATGTCCGTGGTGACGTCACTGCGGGTGTCAGCAGCCAGTTCGATCCATGGCTGCGAGGGACAGACAGGCGAGACAGGCAAGGCGGAGGACACGGAGGAGACAGAGGAGACGGCGGAAACGGCGGACACAGCGTGGTCGTGGGCGTGGTTGTGGCGCATGACGGCTGCGCACGCCGCCACGTAGTCCTCGCACATGCGCGCGCCCTCCCTTCCGCGCCCTGCGCGACCCCCTGCGTACTCCGCATCCGCGCTGCCTTCCTCGCTATTCGCGCCTCCGTTAAGAGAGCTCTCCGCGCCAGGCGACGCATCAGGCGATGCGTCCGGCGACGCGTCCGCGGCGCACGGAAAGGGGTCGTCGGCGGTGGGGGCGGCGGGGTCGGCGGGGACGACGAGCGGGGTGAGCGAGGGGGTGGGCGACGCGAACGACGCGAAGCACGCGAGGTGCCGCGCGGCGGGGAAGCGGTGCCGCGCAGCCATCGTCGCGAAACGTGGGGCGCGTGGAAGCACCGCTTTGAGGGCGTGAGCGCCGACACGGGCGGGAAAGCAGCGGCTAAGTACTATCCAAGTCTAGTAAGCCGCTGTTGCGAGCAGGGCAGTCTGACGAGTACGATCAGAGAGATTGTTCGCTCGAGCAGAGATACGAAGGGTGGGAAGCTGAGAAGACGCGAGAAAGCGGCGGAGAATCAGCCCTGCTGCGGTGTTCCAAGGGCCTTGATCTGTCTCGCCGGGGCACGAGCACGACAACTACACAAGTCACGGACAGCACAGGCGGCGGCGAACACAAACAACGGACAGCATAAGCGACGGACAAGCGCGCTACTCTATTCCCGATGCGTGCAGCGAGTGGGGTCGTCCCGCGACATCCGTGCCACGCGCCCTCCGCATTCTCCCGCCCCTCCTCGCCGTCTCGTTGCCCATATCCCGCCCCCTCGCCAACGAAACGCCAACACCTACGAGAGCCAGCGAGAGCGACGGAGAAGGACGGAGGGCGACGTGAGGGCATGGCGGCGTCAGATGGAGGCGGGCTGAGCAACTCCCACCAGCGCCTAGCGGGGCGGCGCGTCGCGGCTGACCCGTCAGAGCCCAGCCAACGGCGCACCCGTCGCACTCAGAGGCGGAACGGCGGAGCATTGTGGAAAGCAACGGCGCAGGCTGGCGGGGAGTTGGGCTGCCCGTTGCCTGGCGGGAGGCGAATGAGGAGATGTGTGGGCGGGCATGCTGCGCTGGTGGCCTGTCGCAATCCACGACGGCGACTGGTGGGTAAGGCACTGGTTCGCCTCGATAGTGACGATGATGCGACTAGCTTCATCGCGCTTGAGGAGCGATGGGGAGGAGAGGTGATCGAATGTGTCGCTGTGACAGGCGGATGTCAAATCAGTAATGCTCCGATACAAGCAGCTCGGAGGTGTTGCCAATCTAGCAATATTCAGAAGTCGGGTTTCAACCTCAACAGTATTGTATCAATTAGTTGATTGAACGTTTGCCCATATTTGTTCTCAGTTACAGCATTTATGAGTATTATATTAATATAAATTTAATAAATACGAATTTACCAACGTAGCAAGAACCATGCTTTTATGAATTCAGAACATGACTAGGCAACTCTCAATAGTATCACAGGTAAGGGAAAACATTCTACATAGGATTGTAACTAGGCCGTTGTACATTTATCCTTCGGATGCATAAAACGCGATCCAAGTAGTTGAATCCAGTTCCCAATTCCAAAATGGCCACCCCTACGACTACCTTTTACGCGTTAGTTCATTAGTTGCCAGTCCCCCCATCCTCGCAATAGTCACCCAGGCGAAACGCGTTTTCGTACGTCCACGTGTGCAGCTAGAGTTGTAAATGAGGAGCCGCAATGATTCACCACGCGCACCAGCCATGGTCGCCATCTCCGCTAAGCGCTTGGGCCTCTGGCGCCCTGCGGACGCCGCTATGCCGTCCGCCAAGGCGGCCAGCCCCGGCGCCACACCGCTGTCGCGCGGGCGGTGGCGGTCGGCGGGCGAGCGGTGGACGTGCGGCGCTATGGCGGCGGTGCAGATGGGCGTCGCGCTGCTGCTGCTGGCGGTCGCCGCCACTTCGTTGATCCTCCTCGGCTACATTTGCCTCCCCAACCGCCGGGTCCCCGCGCTATCCCCTTTCTTCCTTGGTCGTCTCTCCCCTTCTCGCTCGCCGCCTGCCTCTTGAACCGCCGTGTTCCCGCAAGCCCCAATGCCACTCCACAATGGCCCCAAAGCTTCCACCTCCTCCCCACACCCTTCCCAAGGCGAGCCTATGGTGTTCAGACCAACCGTGTTCCCCCTGCGGACTCCATGCACGCCCTTGTGCCCTCGTGCCGTCTTGCCCTCTTGCTCATCCCCGTTTCCACCTAACCCACCGGCCGCCCCACTCTGCTCCAATCCAGTGCCACCTTCTTCCTCCCTTCCTCCCCCGGTTCCCCCTCGAACCTGTGGTACTCAGACCGGCCGTTGCACCCCCCCCCCCCCCCCCCACTCTTACCCCTGTGCACCATGGACGCATGCTTCGACTTCTTCCCCCCTTCCTTCACTCTCTTCTCTCCCCTCTATTCAGACGAATCTTTGGAAGGTACTAAAGACCGGCGGTTCCACCTCCCCCCATTCTCTCCCCTGTGCACAATGGACGCATGCTTCAACTTCTCCCACTGCCCCTCCCCACCCGCCCACGAGCCCCTCGTGTACTCCTACTGGCCCTGCACCAAGTACTTGGCGCGATTCAGCGCCACCAGGTGCTCATTACATACTGCCACGTGCTGTTTAGATCTGTTACTTGTTGTCTGGATATTTTCAATCTTACTGTCATGTTCATTTTTTACTATCCTCACCCCCACCACCATCCCAATTGGCCCCCACACGCCGGTTGGGGGAGGGTGGGTGGCAGGTGGCACACGGTAGACCCGAGCAAAGCTTGCTTCTTCTTTGTCTTCCTGTCCGCGGGGCAACCCCGGCATCCCCATGCCTCACCATCATCCCCATGCCTCACCAGCATCACCATTTGTGTGTTACTGTGGGCGGGGCAGCTGCGACACTTGAAGAACGTGCTCTTCTGGGGAGAGGACGCCATGGACTATGGGCAGGGCGGCGCTCATGCTCGCACCGCACCTCACAGTGCACCGCGCCGCCATCGACGTCTCCCTGCCGCTGCCGCCCACATGGAAGCGCCACGCGGCCAGCCTGCGCCCGCTGCCGGTGGGGAAGAGGCGGTACCTGCTGGCGTTCATGGGCGCGCAGTACCTGCTGGCGTTCATGGGCGCGCAGTACCTGCTGGCGTTCATGGGCGCGCGGTACCTGGGCACCATGCGTGGCAGCTTCCACAGGTCCAAGGCGTTCAAGGGGGTGCATAACAAGAAGGACATCATCGTTGTTACTTCCATAGGCCATGAAGCTACTCACACACCACACACACATCAAACAGGTTATCCATCAATTGTGCCTTTAGCCATGTAGGTTTATAAACAAGTAATTTAACGTGCTGATTCAAACCACTATTTTGTTACAGAATGTCAGCTTGTGCACTCCATGCACACCTCTCCCCCTCCTCTCGACGTACCATGCTTGTGACCAGCCAGCCAATCCCGTCACTCACTCTCCACCCCCTTCCCAACACAGGCTCCACAAACCGGAGGATATATGAGAAGCTTGATTTTGAGGCGCATAAAAGAAGTCTTTGCACCCAACTCTCCTGTCCACAACAGAGGCTCCGGGAACCGGAGGATAATGGAGGAGGACCCGTCACTGCTGCCCGAGTGCAACGCGGACGCAGCTCTCTTCCGCACCTTCTCCTACCCCGCCCTCATGAACACCTCTTTTGCGCTCGTCCCCGCCGGCTGCCAGGCCTCCATGTATCGATTTTTTTAGGTGGGCACGTGGGTGCATGAGGGGCCTGGAAAGGGGGGAGTGTGGGCGGGGAGTGAGGGCGGGTGCTTGGCAAAAGGGTGGGTCCCGCGGGCCTCCACCTACCGCTTCATCGATGGAGATGCATGGGGGGAGGGGGGTGGGTGGGCGAGTACGGCTTCATGGTTGGTGGGTGCTGCAGTCCCCGTCAAGCTGCTTGCGTTGCTCGCATGGTCGCTTGTGCGTTCCGTGAAGCAGTGATGAGATGAGGTGGGAGGGGGCCTCCCAAAAGTGGGCACGGGGCAAGCAGCCCATTGAATGGGACCCCAGCCCATTGAATGGGACCCCACCCCATGGCACTGCTGCCATGCTTGTGTACCAAGTCGTACACGCAGAGTCAACCCACCTCTGCTTGTCCACTCACCAGCATCCCTCCTTACATCCCCCCTGCCCCCGTCCGCCTCCTTCCCACCTTTCCCTTCCCCACTCCTACTCTCCCTCCCCACTTCCTCCAACCATCCCAATCAGGTGCTGACAGCTGGCGCGATACCAGTGGTGGTGGCGGACACCAGGAAGCTGCCATTTGACGACATCATCCCATGGCACCGCTGCCTACTCGTCTTCCCCACCTCCCTGCTCTCCCGCATCGAACCCACCCTGCGCGCCATCACCCCGGTACCGCCCAACCCGCTCTCCAACCCACCAGTACCCTGGAATCCACTCTGTGCTCCTTGCACCTGCTACCTCCCTCCCTCCTGTCTTGCTCCCTCCCCTCAGCATCACCCTTCCTCTTCCCTGTTTCCCCATGCCCTGCAACCCCCGGTTTCCCCCCCACCTCTGCGTTTCTCTCTGATTTCACATGCCTTGTGCTGCCATGAGTGATGAGCTCTCATAAGCTCGTTGCACAGTGCGTGCCTCGACTCGCTGTGGTTGGCTCTACCATCATGTGTTCCTTGCATGTACTAGGTGTGACGTGTGCAGGCATGGTGTCAAGTGTGCAGGCATGGTGTCAAGTGTGCAGGCATGGTGTCAAGTGTGCAGGCATGGTGTCAAGTGTGCAGGCATGGTGTCAAGTGTGCAGGCATGGTGTCAAGTGTGCAGGCATGGTGTCAAGTGTGCAGGCATCACACCATGCGATACACCATACCATGCCATGCATCACACCATGCCATGCTTCACACCAATCTTTCGTGCCTCTCACCGCTCCCATCTCTCTCGTCCCTCCCAACCCACTCCTAACCCTCAATCTACATGCAGCAAGCTGCGGCAGCGGTGTGTGTCTATCTTTGAGGAGTATTTAGCATCAGATGACGTTCTCATGCGCTCTGCCATGACTGCCCTTAAATCACATGCCGGGGGGATCTTCCCCTTGTAATTCATTCCATTCCATTTATATGTTGCTTCTTGTTTTGTAAGAGCCTCAGAGTCAGCACCCCTTCTAGAGCAATGGGTTGCCATGCATGCATCACTTCACAGCATACAATAACGAACCAGTGTGGGCTGCGCCGGAATATGATGAGTGCTCAGCTCAGAGACCTTCCTTCCACATTCTCCACACCCACGTACATTCAAGCACCTCCCAGCTGGCACAGGCCCACTGCTACATGAATTGCACATACATCATGACACTTCATTAGCTGTACAAAACAAGCACAGTCACCTTATTAGCGTGCCCCCAAAGGAGCGCGTGCATACAGAGTACGCTTGATCACACGGCTACGGTATAAACCATGCGATGCGGGTACAACAGCTTGCACATCTACCTCAACCCAACCCCGCCCCACACTGCTCGGCACGAGCAAATCCTCCAGCATTCCCACCCCACCCATTCTGGAAGGGCCCTCGCCTCCAATCCGTCACCATCGCCTCCCATACTGCATGGGCCACTCGAGGTTTTGGGCATGCCCCTCTCCTAGGCTACAGCACGCAGTGCACAGTTGTTGTTCACTGGAGCGGCATGACGCGGCGCACTTGGATGTGGTGAGTGGACTCGGACCGCCAGATGGGCTGCCGCCCGCTCTGCACCAATGCCACGTCATCCCCCGGCTGCACCATGCCTCGCTTCTGCTCATGGAGGGCGGCAAAACCAGCGGTGAGTGGAGGGGGGATCCGGGGGAGGCAGAGGAGGGAAAACAATTGAGTGAGTGGAGGGGATGGAGTGCCTGCCGTTCTGCACCAGTGCCACGTCCTCCCCGTCCGCACCATGCCCCGTTCTGCACGAGTGCCACGTCCTCCCCGTCCGCACCATGCCCCCGTTCTGCAACGGGAGAGTGGAATGGAGGGGGATGGACGAAACGTTGGGTGCGTTGGGGAGGGTCGGAGTAGGGCAAAGAATAATTGATTGGGAGGGAAGGATTAGGGCAAAGAACAATTGATTGGGAGGGAAGGAGTAGGGCAAAGAACGGTTGGTTGGGAGGGGCGGAGTGCCTGCCACTCTGGCAGGTGGAGGGCACGCAAGGATGGGGACGTGGAGGGAGAAGTGAGACAAGAGAGGCAACATGATTGCGTATGGTGGAAGAAGGGGGTGGGGCTGTGGAAGCTAATCATTATAAAATAAACATGAACAAGAATGAATAAAAGAGGTGGAGGGCAGGGCGGTAGAGCACGGACGAGGAGGATGCGCAGCGCCTCGTTGAAGGTGTCCTCGGCATCGGCTGAGAAGGGCATGTAGAGCGCCCTCACCCCGTGGTACAGCGCCAGGTGCTGCTGCACTCTCTTGCTGCCATGGGGACGAGAGGAACGGGGGAGAGGAGCGGGGAAGAGGAGAATGAAGGGATGCCCGTGAAGGTAGGAGGAGACAAGCTGAGTTGACTTGGAAGTATATGCAATTTGTCACATGCGTGAGCCACGGAGGTGGAGGAATGCACGTGTGTGTGCAATAGGCAAGTGAGAGAAGCATGGCAAGTGAGAGCAGCATGGCAAGTGAGAGCAGCATGGCAAGTGAGAGAAGCATGGCAAGTGAGAGCAGCATGGCAAGTGAGAGAAGCATGGCAAGTGAGAGCAGCATGGCAAGTGAGAGCAGCATGGCAAGTGAGAGCAGAGCAGCATGGCAAGTGAGAGCAGCATGGCAAGTGAGAGCGGGGAGAGAGGCAAGGGGCTGACTCGTTGGTGAAGGCGTAGGTGATGCTGGCGGGGCGGTAGTGCGAGAGCAGCATGGCCATGAAGCCCGAGCGCGTGAAGACGAGCACGGACGCGCCCAGCGTGTTGGCCATCATGGTGGCGTGGAACGCAAACATCTCACTCGTGTGCCGCTGGGAGCGGGGCAGGGGAGGGAACGGGGAGGAAAACGGAGGGGAGAGGGAGAGGGGGGTGGAAGAGGGAATGGAGAGGGGTTGGGGAGGGAGGGGGAAGAAGGGAGGGCAGAGGGTGCAGAGGAGGAGAATGTGAGAGAGGGTGGAGCAAGGGAGTAGGCAAAGAGCTGGGAAGGGGAATTGGGGGACAGAATGGAAAGGAGAGAGCGAGCAAGTGGAAAGTGGGATACCTTGAATGCACGGCCGAGGTTGGCGGGGGTGTTGGGGACGGCCATGGTGGCCTCTGTGCGCACCGCCACTGTGTGCATCACCCTCACGGCCTTCAGGGGGAACCTGCACACGTGTGCACAGAGACACCAACACACGCACACACACACAGGGCAGGCAGGCAAAAAACATGTGAATCTGATGAACCATAGAATTGAAATGCACGTGCGACAAGCCCGTCAAAATGGTGGCATGCTAGTATTGATAAAGCCTGGACAAGAAATTGTGCTTAGGGGAAGTGATTGAAAAATATATGCTACTGATTTCCAAGAAAATAGCCACAAGTGCTCAAATCAAGCATGCCACGGGCAGCAGCACTCACTTGCCATGGGCCGTCTCCCCCGACAGCATGATGGCATCCGTGCCCTCCCTCACTGCAATGGCTATGTCCGACACCTGAGGGCATGGCAGTGATGGAGACAGGGCAGCGGTCGGTGCATGACAACAGCATTGAGGGTGCGGCAGGCATGGCGGCTATGATGTCATGCACGCATGTCAGCGGACACTTAAGGAAAAGAAGGCGAGGGGGAAGGAGGAGAGGAGGTGGGGGTGGGGGAGAGGCAATGGTGAGCAAAAGGTAAGGCTGTTGAGGAGAAGGTGTTTGGGGGGGAGGGGGTGGGGAGGAGAGGCGGTGTTTACCTCAGCACGAGTGGGTGTGGGGTGGTTGATCATGGACTCGAGCATGTTGGTCGCCACTATCACCGGCTTGCCTAGCGCACGACACACCCGGATGATCTCGCCCTTCCGCCATGGTAGTGAGGGTTGATGATGAGGAACGAGGGGTGAGGTGTAAGGGGTGAGGGGTGAGGCACATGAATCATGAGCCATGAGATATTGGCCACAAGCCACTATCACTGGCTTGCCTAGCAGCCAACACAAACAGATGATTGCTTGCACCCTGCCATGCCAGTTGTGCATGAGGTCGGAGGTGCGGGGTGCAGGGTGCGAGGTGGGCCGTGAGGCATGAGGCATGAGGCATGTGCAATGAGCGAAAGCGACACGCAAGCAACGCACAACCAGCCATGCAAGCAGCCATGCAAGCAGGGCACAAGCAGGCAGCACCTCACCTGCAGCAGCGGCACCTCCTCAACGGGCAGCTCCGCTCCCAGGTCGCCTCGCGCCACCATGGCCTGCCCGGGGGAACGATGGGGGGAGAGGAAGAGAGGTAGCAGTGATGGAGGGGTAGAGTGAGTTTGGTGGAAACGGAAGGGAGTTGGGGACAGTGGAGTTCAGTTGAGTGCACAACAGTATGGGCTGGATGCGGTTGAAAACGCTTGGGGAGATAGAAATCGAAAAGAAGTTGGGTTAGGTGAAGGCGGAGGGGAAGTGCGGGCGGATGGAAAAAGGGGGGGGGTGGGGTGGCGTGTGAAGGAGAATTTCTCGTGTGAGGTGAGGAGCACATGAAAGAGTAGCCGACCCGCCACAGCCCTCCCCCCCCACCCTTTTCCAACAACCACCACTCTCCTCACCCCTTTTCCATCACCAGCCCCCTCTCCCAGTCCGTCTTCCCTGTCCCCCCCACACCCCTGGTCCCCCACCCCCAGGCCCCTGGTCCCCATAGCCCCAAGCCCCCTGGGCCCGTGTGCGTGGGGCGCACCCCATCGGAGGCCTCGAGAATGGCGTTCAGGTTGGGCACGGAGTCAGCACTCTCAATCTTGGCTATCACTCCAATGTCCGCTCCCTGGCCTGACGGAGGGCGAGAGGGGGTCAAAAAGTGCACGCGCAAGGGATGGGGATATGGAGGGGAAGGAATGGGACGGAAGCGTCAGCGCATGCAGCACAGAACGAGGATGGGCACGGAGTCAGCGGGCACGCCGATGCCTGCGCACTGGCCTGGTGGGGGTTGGGAGGGAGAAAGGGGAGGAAGGGAAGCGGGGGGGGATGTCAAGTGTGAGGTGGAGGGACAGGTGGAAGACAGAGACAGCTATGTGGTGCCGTGCAGTGCTGTGAAGTGCCTCGCAGTGTGATGTGATGCGATGCAGTACCATCCGGTGCCATGCGGTGCCATGCGGTGCCATGCGGTGCCATGCAGTGCAGCACGCACCTTTGAGGTACTCCTTGAGCTGCAGCACGCACCTTTGAGGTACTCCTTGAGCTGCAGCACGCACCTTTGAGGTACTCCTTGAGCTGCAGCACGCACCTTTGAGGTACTCCTTGAGCTGCAGCACGCACCTTTGAGGTACTCCTTGAGCTGCAGCACGACCTGGGCGTCCTTGACGAAGGAGAGCGCATAGTAGTCCACCTTATTCTCCACGCCGAACCGAATGTCCTCCCAGTCCTTGTCTGGCGGTGGGCGGGAGAGGGGGACCACGAGATAGAATCGTGAGTGAATGTGAATGTGTGCGTGAGTGAGTGAGCGCGTGAATGAAATTGAGAGAGTACATAATGTCCATCGCTTTGTTCCCCATGTAAGCCAAATGTCCTCCTGCCCATTGTCTGCCTGTGGGAGGCCGAAGGAGAAAGACCAAGATGCAGAGAGAAACCAGGATAAGGCAAGAGACCAAAAAAATAACTCAGAGTCAGTGAGTGTCATTACATTGCCTGTAACGTGATGGCATGGGAATGTGTTTTGAATGAAGGGCTAGAGGGTCGGAAGGAGGCGATCACAGATGCCGGCGATGATGATAGCATGGAGTGGTAGTGGAGTGATAAGCTACAAATGTGCTGCACACTCGTTATGGAGCATATTTGGCTTATCCCTCTCTCACTACCACCCCGTACTATCATATCACTATCATCCGTGATGACCCCTTTCTTCAAAACACACTCCCATGACACCACGTTGCTCCCCCCCCAATTGCCCTCCACTCTCTTTGTCTCTCTGCATATCGCTCTTCCCTTTGACCAGTCTCAATGGCCTTGCCCGTCCCAAGAACTAAAAAACGAGTGTGTACATAATACTTCACTATCACATGGGAATATGGTATGTGTAAGGTAATTTTCACTATCACATTACTGTACATAGACATGAGCAACTACGCAAGTAAAATACTCCCCTCGTTTTTGCTACTCATTCTGGGCGAGTAACGAGTCGGCATTTACAGAAAATAACTCGCACGAGTTGAGGCAAGTATTACTTGCAAGTAAGCGATTACTTGTTTACTCGTTGTTTACTCGTTGTTTACTCGTCGTTTACTCGTCGTTTACTCGTCGTTTACTCGTCGTTTACTCGTTGTTTACTCGTTTACTCGTTGTTTACTCGTTGTTTACTCGTTGTTTACTCGTTGTTTACTCGTTGTTTACTCGTTGTTTACTCGTTGTTTACTCGTTGTTTACTCGTTTTGAAAAGGAGAAAGTGATTGCTTGGTCTCAACACCGGAGCCACGCAGATTAAGGCGATTATTACTTGCTCTGAAACAATAATATTTTACTCGAGGCAAGCGACGTCTTGTAATGTTTAGCGAGTAACGAGTCGGGGCTGGAAGAGATTATTCGTATGAGTAATACTCGACCTGGGTAGCGCACTGACCTGTGATGGAGGGCAGCGTGGCGGACTTGCCGCGCACGTTGAGGTGGCGGCGCGACTTGAGCTCGCCCCCGTCCAGCACCTCGCACTCCACGTCCACTGCGCTCTTGCGCTTCACCTGGAACGACATCATGCCGCCTGGCGGGCAAGGGGGGCGAAAAAGGTGCGGGGAAAGGGGGGACGAGAGAGGGGAGGGAAAGAAGGGGCAGGGAGTGAGGATAAGGTTCTCTTGCCCTGCACTGCACCTGGTGTTTCATCGTGCAGCTTGCCGTGACGGCGGGGAAAGAGGGGTGGCCTGGGAGGGGAGGGTGAGCAGGAAGTGGCAGGAAAGGTTCAGAAGAGCACAGGTACGTGCAAAGCGAGGTGAGGTGAGGTGAAGTGCAGAAGACAGCTTGCATCTTGAACATGGTCGCAATCTAATCCGCTTCTAGGCTTTTTTTCGGCTGGTGACGTCACAATTCCCTCTCCTTGTCCATGAGGATAACGTCAGAAGGGCGCCCTGCCAGCTCACCGTCGACAAGAATGATGTCATCGACGTCCACGTCATCAATGAAGCCGTCGTAGTTGACGCTGACGGTGCGGTGTGACCCCACGCCCCGCCGGATGGTGAAGGTGAAGCTCTCCCCGCGCTCCAGCTCTATCGGCTGCGGCAGGTCGCCACTCCGCACCTCCGGGCCCTGGGAGGAGGAAGGGAAGGGAGGGGGGAAGGGGAGGAGGACGGGTAGACGAGGGCGAGAGGAAAAGGGAGGAGGGCGGAGGGTGAGGGAGGAGGGCGGAGGGTGCGGGAGGAGGGGGCAGGCACTCACTTTGGTCAGCAAGGAGGCTCAACGCTGTTCAGAACCAAAGAGCGCTCGAGGGAGAGAGCGACTCACCTTGCTGTCCAGTATAATCGCCAGCACATTCCTTGCGCCCCTGGCTGACCAGCCCCTGCAGTCTCTTTGGATCCGGATTCTCTGCTCCTCTCCCAACACTGTTCCATGGCAAGGGCGGGTGAAGAGAGCGTGCACGCACCTTGGTGTCCAGCATGATGGCCAGGACATTGCCCGCGCCCTGGCTGGCCTGCCCCTTGTTGTACTCCCTCACGAGGTCCACCACGCGGCGGTGCGACTGGTGGTCGCCGTGGCTCATGTTCAGCCGCACCACGTTCATGCCCGTCTCCGCCAGCTTCCACAGCATCTCGCGCGTGTTGCTGCGCCGCCAGGAGGGGTAAGTTGGGGCGGGGAAAGGGAAAGGTGGAGAGGGGGGGAAGAGGGGGGAAATAGTGATTCGGGGAGGGCGGAAAGGACGTGCAGAGAACGTGTTGCAGCCATGGGGGAGGAAACAAACGCAGCTGCCACAGTTCTCCCATGCCCGCTGCCATGGCTACCAGCCATAGGGCGGATGGCGCACCTGGCGGGACAATGGCGCACCTGGCGGGTAGGATAGCGCACCTGGCGGGGCGGATGACACCCTTGGCGGGGCGGATGGCGCGCCTGGTGGGACAAAAACTTCTGTCTCACCCCCCCACATGGCGGGCCCGCTTATCCATCCGCTGGCCCCGCACGTGGCGGGGGGGAGGGCGCACCTGGTGGGGCCGATGGCGCACCTGGCGGGACCGATGGCTCACCTGGTGGGACAAAGAGCGCGCACACCTGGTGGGGCCGATGGCGCACCTGGTGGGTCCGATGGTGCAGACGATCTTGGTCTTGCGCTGGTACGTGGACTGCTGCGTGGCCGCCACGTCAGAGTCCATCAGCACCTGCCGCTCCGTCTGCTGCGCCGCCGCCGCCGCCGCCGCCGCCGCCGCCTCCATGTCGCGCACGAACGCCGCCTGCTCCGCCGCCGCGCGCTGCCCCTGGTACGAGTAGTAGCTGGGGGGAGGTGGGGGGAGCGGGAGGGGGAAGGGAAGGGGAGGCGAAGGGGTGCGGAGGAGAAAGGGGATGGGGTGAAAGAAAGAGAGGGGGAGAAGAGGGGTGTAAAAGGAAGAAAGCGTGTGGAGGAGTTGAGGGCGGCAAAGGGAAGGTAAGGAGACTGCGATCAGGGGAAAATTGGAGCGGTTGGACAGGCCCAGGGGTTTGGGTGCAGAGCAGTGTGTCTGAGGCGCGGGTGAGAAGGCGAGGTGAGGCGGGCATGAGCACATCGAAGGATGTGAGTCAGTTTGCGCGATGAGCATCGACGCAAAGCGCGTAGATCCAAAGGTCGAGCACGGAAACGGGAAGCAATTATTCGCAAAGTAACAAATCAGGGCAACAAGAGTAACGAAGTAAGCGCAAACTTCCGCGAAGCTTCAGATTATGGATCCGCAATTCGACGACCAAGACCGTCGAAAACTCTAAGAGGCGCCCGAGGCCACCTAGGCGTATCGATCTCTTGGAGTGCAGTGGCGTTACGAGATGGGAAGAATCGAACAACTCCGGAACGAAATTCAAGAAACGTCGCAAGCACAATCCCCACAGTGCCGTCGCCCCACAGCCGCCTAAAGGTACCCTCTATGAGCAACGAAGCCAGCGCATTCTCAATCCCGCTCTCCGCCTCACCCGCTGGCGCGTCTGCCCGAGCCGCTGGTCTGAACGGCATCGTCCTCGGGACTCACGGGCACCAGCGCGCCGATCCCCGTCCCCTCATCCTCATCCCCCGCGCGCCGCCCCAACCGCCGTCTGGCATCCGCCCGCACGACGCACGTGCCGCTGCCGGGTCGCTGCGAGGAAGGGACGCTAAGGGTGGTGGAAGCGCCGTGTGTGTCGCCGTGGGAGGCGGGGAGGGCGCGAAGGCCCGCGAAGGACGCGAAGCTGACCGCAGAGAGGGCCGCCATAACGGATAGACGCGGACACTGGAAACAATCGGTGCGATTCGCGTCGGATCGCGAGATATGGCGGCAGCAGGCGACGGAAAAACGATTTGTGGAACGAAACTGAATCAACAATAGAGCCCTGTGTGGGTTAAAGAGAAACTAGGGAGGGACTTGTACTGTGGATCTCGCTAGAACGGTTTACTTGCGAATTGGATTGCCCTCGTTTGAGGCACTCGCTGTTGCCTTTTGCGAGGCAGGCGACGGCTTCATTGGCGGTTGCTTTTGTGACACAATCGCGAGACCGGCTGACAGGGGCGAGTGGATGGGGGAAAGTGAGAAGATAGATGTGAGCTGGAAGGCGAATGGCGATTTGACGTGGCGGTTATGATGATGACGAGTAGGGTGGACCGCCCATGACAGGCAGACACGCGTCGGTAAAGTTCATCGTGACGCACATTTGACGTGGAATATATCGAATTCCTGGCTCTGTTACAGATACACAAAGTATGTACTAGTGATGTGATACCTGTATATGTGTGTAATATATATGTATACCGTATCACCCCGGATATATAAGAAAAATATAAGAAAAATGATTTTTCAGGGGGGTGCGCTTATAATTGAGTAAAAAATATAAGCGCATGCGCTTATAAAATAACAAATATACAATTTTAAACTACTAGCACGAAAATGTAGTTCGCGTTATTGCGCACCCAATCGAGTCGATTTGAAACAGGGTTGTGGGTGAAGAACTCTCGCTACTTGGCAGGGAAAGATTCCCTGCCAGCACATACACTCAAAATGAGTCACTAAGAGCAGGGCTTCGTTTTGGATTTGGCTTACTCACGATTGGCAGTGTAGTTTTTTCAAAAACCCTTATGGGCAGTGTATACTTTTCCGTTACATTGATAGAGCAGTGTAACATCAGGTTTTGAAATTTGTACCCTGCATCATCAGTGTGGTTTTTTTTCGAACACTGACAGATATTCGCAAAGTCTTGTGGTTAGACCTAGTGCATGCAGCAATACTATAGTTGCTGCCAATGTTCGGTTTCGTGGCGTCAGGGCTGACGTTTCACTTTAGGGCTCCCTGATGCCGCTAAATTTTTTTTCCCTCGATTATGAGTGCACATTGTTCAGAAGATTGTCACCCTGATGGCTCAGGGTTCAACAACTAGTCACTCTGATGAGTCAGGGTCGACAGCCTGAATTCAGGGTTGTATTTCAAATTTTACTAGGGTGATTACTGCAATGTACAGTCTGTAACAAATTTCCTCCTACATCTACTCTATTCTAGTGCACAGGCCTATCGATGTGGAACACTTCCTCCACATCCTCATCGTCCGAAAGGAAGGGATTGTCCTCCTCCTCCTCCTCCCCCACAAGCTCCTGATCGTCGCCCAGGGCCTGTTCCACATCCTCCTCCTCCTCCTCCTCCTCCTCGTCCTCCTCCCCATCGTTCTGGTGGGCAGCTCCTGCTTCGACTTCACCCTCCTTTGCTTTCCCCCTCCTTTCGCGATCAGCCACAGCACGTTTCACGCTCTTTGCGGGGCGCCTCCTCCTCATAGACCTCCAGACCTCCAGGGCGTCCGGCCACTCGATGTCGTAATTCAGGAGCGAAATCTGCATCAGCTCCCCCAGCCGCGCGTTGCAGAGAGCGCCGCGCACCCAAGACTTGATCACATTTTGCCTCGAGAATCCTCTCTCGCACTCCACAGTTGACAGGGGGAGCACCGCGATCGCCTGCCACAGGAGGACGAGGTTGGGCCACCTCCTGCCAGGCACATTGTCGGAGATGGGTGGGAAACAGAGTGACCACATGCACAAAATACATTAGACTCCCGCATGGCATACCATGCTGTCACACTACGGGGACATACCTCTTCGAGTCCGCGCTCCCGAGAATGTTGGTCAGTCCCTGCGTGAAGCTTTCCAGCTCGTGGTGCGCCTCCATGTTCGCACAGAATGTGGGAAGCTCCCTCTCTGCGGCCTTGAGGTCGAATCCCGGCAGCTTGTGGCGGAAGAGTTTGCTGCATCCCAGAAGCAACTCACGACACTTCTTCTCCCGTTGTGCCTTGATCTTCGGCCACTTTCCGGCCCGAAACAGCTTCGTCGGCCCCAGCTTCCCCAGGTCATCAAGCCGCTCGTTGAGATTGTCCACGCAATCGCGGGCGAAACTGCGGCACAGCTTCACGCACTCCTCGTATCCGCTCCCCACCTTGTGCCCCGGGAGCTTCCGCTCGTGCATGGTGTACAGATGGTTCACTGGGCGTCCCTCCCCGTCCACGCCTCTCACACGGACCTTCTTGCCTCCACCATGCCCGTGCAGCTTCAGAAAGCCGACCAGCCAGCACTTGCCCTCGCCACCGAACTGCTTGTCGATATCCAAATACCGCTCAGTCAGATCCGCCGTGGTGGCCTCGATGGTCTTCGCAATCTCCGTCACATCAATCTGTAAGGGCACAGTCATACAGGACATGTCATTTTACATCCAACACTCGAGAAATTGGAGAAACTAGCAGAGGCGTGTTCGTGGAAGATTAAACAAACTCACATCTCGCTTCTGGAAACAGCGGTTGAGGTCGTTCATGTCGGCGAGGATGTCGGCGAGGAAGAACAGGCAAAACTGGAACTTGTAGCACGTGACGATCTCGTACACCTTGTGACTCCGCTCCCACAGAAGAACGATACACGCACCGAGCACCTTGCACAGCCGTCGCACCGCATCTCCACGTGAGAGCCAGCGAACCGTGTGGATCCCCTGGACTTCGAGGTTAGTGTTGTAGATCACACGCTGCAGGTACTTGAACCGTTGGCTCCAGACTGAAGAATCTCCTAGTTTTGCCGCCACGGTACGCACCACCTTGTCCACCATGCCGAGGTCGGGGTTGGACGTCGCCGCGTCCTTAACAGCCAGCGCCTCCCTGCAATAGACAACGTTAATAATTGTTAGAGTAGAAATCAGGCAAGCAACATGAACTGGATCAATAACTGGCACTAAATCTTACCGGTGCGCGATGCAGTGACAGGAAAAGAGATGCGGGGAGTGCTCCCTGATCCGCGCCACCAATCCGTTGTCCTTCCCCGTCATGACCGAAGCCCCGTCCGTACTGATTCCGACAAGCTTCGACACGTCGACGGCTGCAGAGCGCAGATGATTCATGAGCACCTCGAGCAGGGACGCAGCATCACACTTCTCCACAGTCAGGAGGGTGAAGAACTCGGTGACGACTCGGCGGTCCTTGATGAAGGTCAGGTAAACAATCATGTGTTTACCACGCGTTCGGTCAGTGCTCTCGTCGCATTGCAGGCCCAGGAACGGTGAGGAGTTGATGTGGTCCATCTGCGCATTCGTCAAGTACGTACTGAGGCAGTGAACCATCTGCTGGAAGCCGTACCTGCGCAGAAATGTAGGTCTTTCAGTTAGTCTTTATGGGGGAAAATATTTCATTGCCACGAATTCTATACAGCAAGATTGTAACTAAAATGTCCTGCCGTGTGAGATAAACACCGTAAGACTGTCTCGGGATGTCGGGCGTGTCCTGCTCCGCGAGATGCCGCATCAGCCTAGGGTACATGCTTATCGGCACGTCGCACTTGCACAGAAACACAACCGACCGCAATAGTCGGACGGCGCGCCTGCCCTCGACGTCCGAGTTGATGAAGTTTGAAATCACTTGCTGCCCCTCGCGGATGCCTCTCGCAATCTTCAGCTGCCGGTGAACAGCCGCTTTGTGCGCGTCCATGTGCTCGTGTACGCGAAACGCCTGCGTCTGCATGTCACGGCCTCCGTCATCACCCTGCCTCGCGTACCTCGTGTTCTCCTTCCCGTAGGCCATGCAGACACTGCACTTCACATAGGGAAACCCATCCTTGGTTTTTCCCAACACGAGCCAGGAGAACTGTCCCGACCACCTCGTATCGTACATGATGCTGGCCTCCAGGAACATCTGCTCTCGCAGCTGCGCCTTGGTGAGGGCGGGCGAGCCGGTGTCCGCGCGGATCGGGAACACATCTTCCTCTGGCGGTGCAGATGCAGCAGGTGGTGGATCAGCCGGAGTGTTCGAAGCAGAAAGTCTGCGGCCTCCGACGAGCAGGGTATGCTGCGCCCACTTCCCTGAATGCGCTCTCTTCGGTGTGGAGGTAGCCGACGGAGGACCAACGGACACACCAACGGTGCTTGGTGTGGGACTTGGCGCGGTCGGTTGGGGATCTTTGCTGCAAGAAGCAACAGCCGGGGGTATAGTGAAGGCGGCCTCCCGGGGAGACTCTTCAGGTGTGGCCGTGGGCGTGTCTTTAACTGCAGAATCATCTACGGTAGACCTAGGTGGATCCGGTGTTACTGGAGCAGCGGAACCTCTAAGAAAATCAATCCCCGAGCGTGGCTCCGTGGCTTTCGGCGGTAACGGTGGCTCATCTGAGCCAGCCTGAGGCGTGTCCTCGTCAGCCTGCTGGCCTTCCATGGCGGGGAGAAGCTAGAGATGGGGAGAGAGAGAAACGGAGAAATGAATTGAAAAAAGGGAACATAACAGCAGCACCAACAAGACCCTGGCTGTGGGAGGGGGGAAGCAAGAGATGGAGGGAGAAGGTGGGGTCAGCAAGAATCCACCGCGTCGCCACGAAATTGATGGCGCGGTGGTCGAAACAACGAGCCGTCATTGTATTCGGCCTTTCATGCAGGCCGAATACATTGAACGACTGCTTCACTGCCAGCGACGACAGCCACTAACTGTCTCCCTCCAATGAGGGACACGTATTGTGATTTGCGCGGTGCGCGTGGCAGTATATATGATGCTTCTAGGTGCGCTGTCAAATTTGACAGCTGTGCTGTACATCGATGCTGTACATAGGACAGTTGTGTTCTGTGTCGGTTCTTGTCACTAGTGCGCGTGAAACGAAGCCCCCACATGGTTAGGTGCGAAATCATAATTACCCACATGGGGGGGTATCGGAACGAAGCTTCTACGAAGCTTCGTTCAGATAACATCACTTTCAGGGTCCACAGGTCGCATACTCTGTATT